CATTTGAAATTATTGCGTTGTAGAATATACTATTCTTACATGTCATTTACCATCTGGAACAGGTATGCTGTTACTTATTAATATTAAATGATAATAAGTTCATTTGTTTTTGATTATATTTTATTCCATTTAACATTTTTCATATTTACTATATTTACTAATATTTATTAAGTTCGTAGTTAAAATCATTCTATAATTTCCATCAACTGTTCTACTTAATCTAGTATACATATAAATAATAATAATTGCAGTATGTTATTACCCATTTTAATAATTTTGTTATTTACAACGACACTGGTAATTATATTAAAGCTTTTTGTTCTATACATTGATTTAACAGATTGATGCAGAGTCATAAACAAGTACTTAAATAGGCAATAGCAGTATTTTTGATAAGTGAAGTTTAGGGATAACTTAATCATACTATGCTATATCGGTACTTAAAAAAGTGATCAATATAGACACTACTGCTATTGTAGTATTATTTGAAATACCTTATATTATTGTCCCCATACTTCATCAAAGTGACACTGGGCACTGACAAAATTAACTTAGAGTAACTACGTTCTAAATAGATATTTTATTTTCAAATGTTAAATATGTCATTATATATTGACAATTATACTTTCTTTAGCCAGTAATATCTACTGTAACAAAAATTATTCATAATAATAAACATTTGATTCGTTAATAATAAATCGATTATAGCAACTTTAAAACTATGTAATGTAAATATCACTTGATCATTGGTTAATTTAGATATGCTTTTTATAATTTTAATAATCCTTCCTATTCATCCATGTGTCAAGTTACAAGATAAGTAAATATAAGTATTTTGTACTTATGAAAGTATAGATACAGTTTTAAAATGTATTTGTATCCAAATATATAACTAACCCTGTAATGTAACATACAATTATATTAAAAAGAAGAAATATGAAGTTAGATTCATAAAATATAATATATAATATACAATATAAAGTTTATTCATTTAGAGACAAATAGCTTTTCAAATTTTTCCAAAATAGTTAAAAATAGTCAACTATAGTTTTTTGTAGTGCAATATTTTACTAATAACTTTGAACAAATATATCTTAAAAATAAAATAAATAAAATAACTTATTGATTTAAGTTTTCTTTTTTTGCCATTGATATAATTTAATAAATCTTTTTTTTTAGATTGAGGAAATTATAATTTAAATAGTTACAAATATATTAAACTGTTGGACAGTCATGAAAATGGTGCTGTCACAAAGACAACGTGAAGAATTGTAAGTTTTTATGTTTATTATGTTTGAACAAAATAACTTAAAAAATATTGAAGATTTATGCACATTAATTTTAATTACAATAATATTATCAAGCAATCATAAAAATGAGAGTAAATACAATGTTTAAACCATTATTTCATATTTTGATGTGGTTGTATTACAACTTTTGTAATATGTCTACTACAGCACTCTAAATTGTAAAAGTGTGGTAAGTTGAACCTTGTGCATAGCTATGTGTCAGTCTATAATATGTTTATTTGGATAATGTCACTTTTTTTTTGTTAGTCAGCATTTGGTATTTAAAAGTTATTTATCATTGCAGATCTAAATTACTCATATAATACTATTTGCTATAACCTGAATATTATTTTTTATGTTCATTACATTTAAGTAGATCCTTAATAGTTTTTTTTTTTTAGAAATAAAGCAATTGCTGATTATCTTAGTAGCAATAGTTATCACAATGCCTTGGAAGGATTAAAAAAAGATGCAGATATGCCCGGTGAAGTAGAAAATAAATATGGTGGTTTACTTGAAAAAAAATGGACGTCTGTAATTAGACTGCAAAAAAAGGTGGTATTTCAAATAATCACTATATTACTTATATAAATATGTGATAACATTATTAATATTTAGGTAAGCGAGCTTGAATCAAAACTTTCTGAGTATGAAAAAGAAATTAATTCTGGAGCTCCAAAAAGAGCATTGCGTTCTCCGAGTGATTGGATACCAAGAGCCCCTGAAACACACTGTTTAACCGGTCATAGAGAGACTGTCATCAAAGTTATATTTCATCCTGTTTTTAATATTCTTGTATCTGCAAGTGAAGATGCTACTATAAAAAGTTGGGATTATGAGACTGGCGAGTATGAGAGAACTTTAAAAGGTCATACTGAAGCTATTCAAGATATTGCATTTGATGAAAGTGGCAAACTATTAGGTTATTTAATGAAAAAAAACTAGTAAGTTTTTATTTTAATTTTTATATGTTTTCAGTTTCCTGTAGTGCTGATATGAGCATAAAGCTGTGGGATTTCAGTCAAACGTATGAATGCATCCGCTCAATGCATGGTCATGAGCATAGTGTATCTGGAGTATGTTTTCTTAAAGGAGGAGATTTCATAGTTTCATCTTCAAGAGATAAGACAATTAAAATGTGGGAAGTAAATACTGGGTAAGATTATAAATATATTATAAATAATTTTTTAGTACAATTTTAGCATTTTTTAAATTTTATTCTTTTGTTATATCATTTCTAGATACTGTGTTAAAACATTTACTGGTCATCGGGAATGGGTCAGAAAAGTCAAAGTTTCCCCTTGTGGTCAATTTTTAGCTTCATGCTCTAACGACCATACTGTTAAAGTTTGGATAATTGCTGCAACCCAGTGTAAAGTAAGTTAAAAAACATATTATTAATATTATTTATAATTTAATTAAACAATTCTTATCAACATTACAATAGGCTGATTTACGAGGACATGAACATGTAGTTGAATGTATAGCTTGGGCACCAGCTGCATCGTCATCAGCAATTAATGAAGGAGCAGGAGTAGATCAGAAAAAAAATGGTTATGAAGGTCCTTTTATTATTTCTGGATCAAGAGATAAATCAATTAAGGTATGTAATGCATATTTTGGCTTTAGTTCTATCTATCTCTTCTCTATCAAAATTGTAATTAGTATAAAAAATAATACAAAAAAAATCCTGATTAGAATTTATGTGCTGTAACACAGACTTGATTAAAAAAATCAGAGGAGTTCTACTTAAAAGTGTGTTACAGGAAGACCTGACAAATTAAATAACTTTTCTTCGTATCAAAATCTAAAAAAAATTTTTGTTTTAAATAAATTATTATATAACATTATTTATGTTATATTTGAAAATAAAAATAATTGAACCTGATATTGATATTTTAAAATATTATTTTCTATTTCTATATATTTTTTTTGAAAATGAAAATAGCCAATTTGTAAATCTGTCTTTAGAAAAATGTTGTATGTAAAACCTTTCCTGTAAGTCATGTAGTTTAATTTTTATAATTTTTTGAAATTTCATAATTTTTGTTTAGTTAAATTGATCTACCTAGTCATAAAAACATATTTCAAACTAAAAAATTAAAAACTTTTTTTAAATGTTTACTAGGAATTTCTAATAAGTACCTGCTACAAACTAAATATTTTTTTAAAAGTTATTACTTTAAATTGAAATTGGACTTCAATTTTTTTTATTTTCAGTATGAAATATTAAAAATTGTTATTTTATACGGGTAATGCAAATTATATATAAAAAAAAATTAGTTATTTCATTTGTCAGGTCTTCCTTTTACAGAGGGTGTACTCCAAATAATAGGTTTTGAGTTTCCCAAGTCATTGAGTAAGAAGTCACTGTAATGGACATGTTATATTTTAATTTAATTTTAAGTAAAGTATTATTAAGTTATTTTTGGCCTAATACTTTGCATATATTTTTATTGTTATTAACTTTTAAATGACTACTGATTGCTGTCATGCAATGAATATATAATTTTTATGGAATAAGTACTGTTTCCCCTTGTTAGATTAATTATAATTCACTAAAAATTAGTTCTAAATTTGAATTGTATAATTTTTACTGTAGAAACATATTAATCTTAAGTTTTTTTTCTAGATGTGGGACGTCGCATCACGTTCATGTTTATTTACTATGATTGGACATGATAATTGGGTACGTGGCTTAGTTTTTCATCCTGGTGGTAAATATGTTATATCAGCAAGCGATGATAAAACACTTCGAATTTGGGATTTGGCAAATAAACGTAATATGAAAACACTATTGGCTCATGGACACTTTTGTACGACAGTTGGTAAGTTATATAATCAATTGTTTTTTCACACAATAACTTTTTTTTTTTTCTAGATTTCCATAGATCACAACCATTTGTAATAACAGGTAGTGTAGACAAGACTATAAAAGTTTGGGACTGCCGCTAAAATTTTTGGTTCACAATTTTATATTATGTTCATAATTCTTTGCTAATTTTAAACAGTATCTCCACAATGATGTTTTCATTTTCTAGTCTGTCATAGAAGTGTAGGTAGTTTGTCTTCAAGTTGTATTTGTATAAAAGTAGCACGGCATTTTTTTTATAAAGAAACGCCCCACTTCTTTATGTATTGTAGGTATGTGTAATTTTTATTATTTCTCATTACTAGTTTTTAATAAAGTTTTAGGTTTAAAATAAAATATTATTTTATTTAAATACTTGCTTTTCATGTATGACAATATATAATGTTGTTAGAATACTTTTATTTTAATTGAGCATTTGAATTTATAATTATTTTTTGTACAATGCCTAACTTTATAGATTTAACAGAATTCAGCTTCATTCAAATGTTTTTTATTATTATATTTATTACTATTAATACATTTCTTTTATAATTATAAAGTTATTAATATATTGGCGTATTAAGTTATTATATTAATATATTAAGAGTCATTGCATCTAAGTTAAAAACTATAATTTGTTTTCTTAAATTTGTATTGTACCATAATATTATAAAAATTATTTGTCTCTTAATTTAAGAGTCCTAAACAATATTAAGTTTAAAAGTTATACTTTTGTTCACTGATATTGATTAAACATAATAACTAATAGGTATATGTAAAATCCATACTAATAATAGCATTACCTAATTATGATGGTATGTTTAACATATAATTTTTCATGAAAACTGGTAATTTGAACAATAATGTTGTAAATTCTTTAGCATACTTAATTCAACAAAAATATTATATATAAGCTGATAAGATACTGTGGTTTGATAAAATCAGCTGGACAATTTTCAGATACATTATGTATGTAATGAGTAGTACATATGTGTTAAATTTGTACTTATCTATGACTGTAGCGTTAAAGTAAAAATGTTTTGCAGGACATTCAATATTGTATATAATATTCTGTTTATTTTTCTGAAAATTAACCACTATTACTCTCTTATCATGTTATGACCATATAGGCAATTACTCTATCAGAATATAAACTGTTTTGGTGCCATTAATTAAAATTTATAGATAATTCTTAATAACTGCAATCACAACACTCAATATTATAAAATTGTACTCTTTTTAAGTGGTTATTTTCGGTAGTTTCATACCAATGATTTAGTTATGGATTAGTAGATAATTAATTTCTTTTATTTACAATTAATTAAGATCCTGGTTTTATAACTATTGTTTATATTTTGATTCCATTTTCTCTGCGAGTTATTGACAAACGTGTACATAATTTTATACATCTATTGCCTTTGTATACATTATAACAATTAAGCTTATTCATAATCAATTTATAAATTACTGTATTAAAATTAAAAGTGATCAGATTAGATGTTTTTATTCTTTAAATACCTATCTTTATAACATAGAACTGGAACATTACTCTCTTATATTTTGTTTTTATGAGAGAATGGGTTAAATAATAACAAATAGGTATAAAAACTTATGTTAAATTAGTTAAAAATTGACAAAGTAGCATTTTGGGAACTATTGAATGTTTTTATAAGATATATTTTTATTTCATTAGAATGACATTTTAAACTATACTTAACTAATGATTTCTAAATACCAATATTAAATCCCATACTTACAGTACAACATGTTATTTGTTGGTCAAACATTAAAAAAATTTATTGTACTTGTGATTTTGATTGTCTTATACATATTGAATAATACAATAATTCATTATTTTATTAATTTACAAGGGTTTAGATTCTAGATCTATAGAATATAAATATAATATATTCTACTAATCAATATCTATGTATATACCATAAACTGTTTTAAGGTCTTCGGATAGTACCTATAATATAAATAGCTCTTAAATCTTAAAAAAAATCATAATTATTTTATATTGATCAAATGGTAAGTTTACAATAAAAAATAGTTAATAAATACAATTTTTAAACATTTAAACTTTTATTAAAATTCTTGACTAACTGTGGAATATCTTCTTCCTCTAGATGTTCTGCATTTAGTACAGCATTTCCTATAGCGATTGTTGTTCGTATCGAAGAACTATTAATCCAAATCTTTCCATTTGCCCCAATAACAATTTCATAGGGAACCATCTGCCCAAGATGATAAAGTAATTTTGAATTTGATCTCCTTAGTCTTAATGCATAATTTAAACTAACATTAATCAAAAAACCATTTTCTAAGTGACCAAGAATTATGCTGTTGGCATATTCTACACAACTGATTTCAGATTCCATAAATGGCGTTGCCGTTTTAATCTTAGCAGCTACAACATTCCCCACTTTGATATCAGGTCTATTTTTTTTTGTAGCGTTAGTGAATGCTAAGTATGGAAGAGTCGCTAATTCGGAAGCTCCAATATCAACTTTATACATTTCAGATGTTTTAGCGGCGACTATTCCCACTACAACGTCGTCCTTAGCCGGTATGTATTTTTTTTTAAAATATTCTATCCAAAAGTATTTGTCATCTTTACACCTGAGTACTCCACCGTTACATACGATTATTTTGTTGTCGACACTCTTCAATCCAGGACCAATGGTTTTTTCACTTCTTTTACAAGTGTCTCCTTTAAGAATTATATGAGAGACGTCATTCCCCGGTAACACAATGTCATTAAAATCCACTGAAGTCATCGTAAACTGTTAAATGAAAATATAAAATTTCAAAGCAAGTAAAATCGCATGACAAAATAATGCTTATAAGAGATTTACAGAAGATAAATGATATAAATTATAAACAGTAAACACCGAACAAAAAATATAAGATGCCGGTAATCAGTATTCAGTATGCCATTCAATTGATAAAGAGAATGTTTTCAGACAAACTGCTACGGTGGTATAATGGTATATTGGTAAATACCATAAATTGAGATAATTTACAAGTCTGGAATAAAAATATGTGTTCCAACTTCTAATGATCTTTTGTTCCAAACATGTTGTGTTCTTAATTCTTATAAACATCTATATTATTATATATATCTTTTTTTATGGATGTTATTAACGAATAACGGGCAATGTAAACCGCGATTTTTTTTTAACCAACTAATATTATTTTTTATTATTATTACCTATTTATAGAATTTTTTTTAAAGAATCATTATTAATTTTATGCGTGTATCATAATACAATAAACTACATTTTTTGAAACATTTGGGATAAACTTATTTTTGTTACTTATCGTACTGCCTATTTAAAAATCAAGTGTAGAAAATCAGACAGACTATATAAAGTGCCATTCTTCTAAATTTTGTTCAAATAAATAGGTAATAATAAAATTATAATTTATTATAAAAATAAAATGATAATACTTGTTAAATTTTTTTTTGTTATTCAATCAAAATATTCATAATATTTTGGTACATGAATAAAATTAATAATGATTGTTTAAAAAAAAAAAATCAATTCTATAAATAGGTAATGATTATAATTTATAAAAATAATATTAGTTAGTGAAAAAAAAAATTGTGGTTTACATTGCCCGGCCAGGACCACATTGCCCGTAATATATGCACCTGGTATAAAATTCAAAGCTAATCAAACCCAGGCCCGTCAACACATGTAAATATACCCGCCAACATTTTATTATATTATTTGTATTTTTACTATTATTACTATTTCTTTAAATTTCGTTGTGTGTTTTATTTTATATAGGAATGCTTGACCAGCTTAGAATAGAGATTAGCATTAGCTCCCCACCCTCTTTTTGCTATCTACCTATTTAACCACCTATGTGACTGTACCTACAGAAGATTTATTTAACCACCTATGTGACCAAGGTAATTATAATTACCTTGTATGTGACTATGTACCTACAGAAGATTCATACGATTAAGCAAGCCTTGTTCATAAGATGTCCAGCACAACCCCAGACAAATGCAATTGAAATTGTAGCCTGCTTTCAAAATAAATTGGGCTGCCTTGGTACAAATAAATTATAGGTTGAAAATCGAGGTAATGTGGTGACTCCGTTACTGGAAGAAATATTTTTGGAACAACTATAAAAAAATAATAACGGTATACTGTTGTAATTTATATTTTTAAGAAGTTTTTGATGGAAACAAGGACTAAGGACATTATAATTTATGTAACTTTAGTAGAAGAAATACGTTTTGGTACGAACAACTATTTATCTATTTTGTTAAATAATATTAAATCCACCATTGAGCTCTATGGAATAAATTTTAAACTTTTATTCCACAAAAACACTTAGGAACATAGAACAGGTGATAGGTCCACCTATGAATATTTGTTGCAATCTTGATTGGAACATGGATCTTTTTGTTATGAGTTTATGACATAATTATAGTAGCTTTGCAAACCTGCATTTGCCGCTCTAAAATTTGAAGAGCGTAGTTTTACCGTTTCCCAAAAAACGGGACACCCATCAGCTGCAGTTACTATAACGTTGTATAATATAGTAAGTTGGTGTTGACGATCTGGCTGGGCCCAGCACATTTGAATGATATTTTGGGCCTCAGTTCACCTTAGGCCGGCTCTGCGATCTGGATGTAGGTTAGGTTTATTCCCTAGGCTAGGCTATATCTTTTATCTATGGATATAGGTAATCAATTCCATAGCTTTGCTAATTGTTTGGAAATTTTATAATTAATGCAGTAATATTTTACCATGTCGATGAAATAATGTACTGAGCACTTAAAAATCATATTTTATCTGTAAGATAATTAACAAGCACGAAGTATCAAGTAGATCGAAACCTTTGGATTTCGTCTGCTATTGGAGAAACTAGAAAGCACACTATCCCACGTTGAATTGAGTTGTTTCTTACGAGTCGCTAGGCTGTAGTGATGGTCTAAAGGGTTATATTTTGACAGTGTTGTACTGTTGTGTTACATCGATGATAGAATTACTGGCACAAACCCACACTCCAAATGTTGTAAATCCAGGTTTTTTATTGGATACACATTTGACATTTAGTCAACGTTTTTTTTAGATAGTTACCTTGGAGTGGGGTCCGACTAAGCAATTAAGTTGTCTTCGCTTAATTTGAATATTTATTTAAAATATACGATCAAGAAAAATGATATTTTGAAAATTTAAAATACTGAATACTAGAATTTTTGAAAAAAAATTGAATCTGCGACACTCAATTAGAATTCTCATTTTCCATACTTATTACAGCTATGATACTACTTTTTAATGTATTGATTTTCCACCGAGATACTAAGGGTGATACAGGGATTAGAGCATGATAGAGTATGTCCCAAAATACTGTATAACGTTTGATCTTTGGTATAACACAGCTAATAGCTATAGGCTATGGGAGGGGGAAAGGCCCAATTGGCCTTTGAATTTAATGATTTATCATTGCATATACAAAAAAACAATATTGAGCAGAAGTAGTCTGTTTATTTATAGTCAAAAAAAAAAAACGAACAAAAATGTAGTTAAAGTCTTTATATTTTTTCTCCCATTCAAATGGTTCGGAAAATGTAGAAATGGTCATTTGGAGAAAAATGTATCGACAATTATCATTTTTAAGAAATAGGAACCTAATATATTAAGTAATATAACAAATTTTATTGTTACCTATTTGTTTAACATGGAGCACTGTATACGTATGCAATTTTAATACAAAGCATTTGTTATAGGGATAATTTATAAATATACTATTAACATTTACATTTTTAAAAACTTAAATACATAAGAGTGTACGGAATCAATCTTATACCTGTGTTTTAAAGAACTAATAAATAATAGATAGGAACATTGTTATACCTACTTTCAAGTGTCAATAATAATTATTGTATTATTATACTAGTCGTAGAAAAAAATTACGTTTTGGAGGACTGATTTGAAACCAACCTCATCGCAATGATTTATTAAACATTTTGTTTATCCTGTTCAATAATATTGTTAATAAATTAAAAGTTAGAACATATAATATAATCTGTGTATAGTATAATATGAGATCTCGAGGTCACCCAAAACGGGGGCTCCTGTGAATTTCACACCCAACAGTTTCATAAATGTAGTCACTACTGATTTCTAAGTTTCTAACACAAGTAATCGTCAACTGTATTCCGGTAATAACATTTTAAAGTGAAGTCTTTAGCCTTGGGTACTTTAATTTGGTAAAAATATACTTAGTAGTAGTAACCCAATACCTTGTCAAAGGTCTACGAAGTAGTTTATCTTAAAGACCATTTTTTTCTAATCAATGGGCACGGTGTTTACAATTTGTATTTTGTTTATTGATATGTGATATTATGATGATTTATTGATAGCAACAATATATCAAATTAAAATATACATTATTAGTTATTCATCGACCTTATATATTACATTGTCTTTTATTATTGTGGAAATTATGAAATTATACAATCCTTCAACACTATATCTAGTTAATTTATGTCTATATATATATATATATAAAAACTTATAATATAGGTCTATGCGTTAAACTTAAATTTGTTGAATGTTTTTGGAATATAAACATATGCATGTATAAATGTGTAATCGAATTAACTTAATATTTTGAATCGGTTAGTAGGTAGTTCAAAATCATTCATATATTTTTCAAAAAACGTAACAGCATGAATAATATATATAGCAACACAGAACAATGGTAATAATAGCAATAACGTAAGACCGTGGTAGCAACCTTAACAACTGCAGCGCAGCCTGTGGCTATTTAATCGTGCGACTCGTTTCGCATCCGACATTATATTGTTCTGTGTCCCAAGCGGAGTTTGGCACAAGACTATGGAGTTTGGTCAAGCTCTAATAGTCTTCACTCTTCATAGTTCATGTTAATAAAAATTAAATGATAAGGCTTAAAAATTGATAACGTTAAATAAATGGTGAATCGCAGCTCTTTTTAGACACTTCTCAATAGTTATTTAGGCTGAGGAGTTAATGTAATTTTTTTTTGTTAAAGTTAAAAATACATATTCAACAAATTATTTAGTCAAAATTTATAAACATTTTAACTTTCCACTTTTAATTGTGTTCAAAGTTCCGCATCATAATTATATTCGTGTTTTAAATCGGTGAGCACAATGACAATTTTAGTTTAAATAAATAATGCAGCAAATAGTTACTACTGGTAGACTGATTTCCCGTGCTCTATGGAATGGCTTCACTAATTTGGCACCTTCAAATTCTGAACACGTAAATAAGAAACGTGAGCCTTCATTCCTTTATGCTGTTTGTGGTTTTCCTAAAGAATCTTCACGTAAACATCCTCCAGTTAAAGGAAAATTTGGAGATGATGCTTGGTTTTCTGCTAAAGGAAAAGCAATTGATGTACTAGGTATTTTTTTATTTTTATTCAAATAAACCATAAGATACTTTTACCGAATAGCAATTATATTTAACCAATTGGACTACAGTATGAAAATAACAATGTTTACAAGCATAATAACTTGTATAATATGATTGACATGAAGAATGTGTTTTGTTGATGTATTAAATATATCTGGTTATTCGTATTTAATTAATAGGTGTAGCTGATGGTGTTGGCGGTTGGCGCCACTATGGCATTGATCCAGGCGAATTTTCAAGTTTTCTCATGACAACATGTGAAAGACTCGTATCTTTGGGAAAAATTAAGCCAAATGAACCAAATAAATTATTAGCTCAAAGTTATTACGAGTTACTTGAAAATAAACAACCAATTTTAGGTAAGAAAGTTTTTGGTATTTATGTATTAACACTTTTATTTAGCTAGTATAATAGTTTTCAATTGTATCTTTATCTTTATATATTATTAAAACGATTTCTTATGACAGTTATATCAGAAGTTCTACTGGACTGATTTCCATGGTTT